GCACTTTGTGTTTTAAAAACACACACTTGCAAAAGTCGAGATTTGCAGTGAACTTACTGAACATGTATATCTTTTAGGTAATAATAATAACAATAATAGTAAGTAATTATTATAAATCCATATAGTTAATTTTATAATAATTACTTACTAGAATAAATTATTATGATACCTACCTTTATCTAATTATAATATTTCTTGCGAGATCAGGATAATGTATTCGTGTCCATTCTGAGCACCCGGAAACTTATTTTATTCTTTGAAACATGTACTCTGTGGCGGCAATCAAACAGTGTCAAATGTAGTGCGTGTGGCGCGTCGGCGACGATTGTATGCGATATCAATAGTAGCCGCCGGCACGTGTATCTTGACCTTGTACTTTCGAATAGCTGCACAATTTCTTTGACAGGTCAGTATCCGACCTTTGATGACGCCGACAACAAGACGCCGCGCACTATCAAAGTGCCGATGGTCAAAACTAGGGATGCACTCTTTTTTCTTTTAATGGATATTTTCATTCGCTATGTATGTTTATGGTATTGTTCGTAATGCGCATAAGTCCAATTTTCCAATTTTTTTTTCATTATATTTTTTTGCGTCTCATAGAGTCCCTAAGCGTATACCCAAACTGCTATACTCCCTGAAACGACACTTAGTCCTAACTGCAAGACGCAAGAGTCTCGCAAGCTTAGTCTTGTTCTTGCGCAAATCTTGCACGGTCAGTCTTGGTCTTGGTCTTGCTAAAAAGAGGCGGTCTTGTTCTTGGTCTTGGTCTTACAAAAATGCAAGAAAAAGACCAAGACTGCAAGACCAAGACCGATTTTGGGCAACACTATACTCAATACATTTATAAAAATGTAATGTACGTACACAAAAATAAAAGTAGTATTACAAAAATAAGTGATATTCATTCTGTAAATCCTTATTAAAAACAAATTATTTAACTTTATACCCGCACTACAAATTGTTATTACTATGTTTATCTAATTATTGTTCTCACGTGAGTGACGATTGTCTTATTGAGAAATAAAGATCTTTAAACAGCAAATCCTAGGAACAGACACAACTAAGTTAGTAGTACTAGTTACTCGACTCCACCGAATCAATAATTAATTATTGGGGCGATGTAAACACTTTTACAACAAAATCCCAGAAAACATACAAGATTTGACCTGCTCAAAGTTCAAAAACTTTATTAAACAAAGTTTGTATAATAATAATATTAAGGAATTTATGTATAACCCCTGGGTATGAGGTGATCACGACCAAGTTATTTCTTTTATTTTGTGTTCTTAACAGTGTAACAGATATGATTGTAAGCTGTTATTTAAATAAAAAGTCCCGCTGGCTTTCTTGCTGGTTCTTCCCAGGACAGAGTTTTTTTCCGAACCAATGGTATTTTCTTTATAAAAAAGTTATATCCACACTAGGATTTTCTCCTGTGTCGTGGAGGTAGTTTACAAACATAAATTGCACGAGGACAAACATCCAGACCCTGAACAATTATCTGTAGGCCATACAAATACTTGTTCCGTGCGAGATTCGGACCCGCGGCCCCCAGCGCAACAACTCATTACTAAGCCACTGCGCCACGGAGCCGTGCAATTAAACATAAAGAGTGATTTTCTTATTAAGTATATTTATAATCTGAGAAGGTATAGTTGTGGAAATCTCATTTTAAATTTAAAATTCATTAGATAACAAATTCATTCAATTTGAACGATATGTAACATACAAATATCGGTACGATACGCGCGCCATCTACTGTAAGTTAATTGTACCATGCCTATAACCTTCACGAACCTGCAAGGAATATATAGTTGACAAAGTTTTACCGCAATCAGATGAACGGTATGGCAGCGCATAAAATACGGACAAACGCGATAAAATCCGTAAGAAATTCGTTTCATTTAACCTCTGAAGGCTTCAGTACACGTTGGTCGAGCGCGCTTGGCGAGCCGCTCGGCAGATTTTTGTGGTGCCATTCACACGTTGGCGTGCTTCATTCTGCGTAGGTAGCTAAATGATGATGGACGTTAGTGATCGCGGCCTTATTTTTATGTTGCTCATGTTTGGGGTTCCATATAACTGATTCATTGTGATAAGAATCAACGAACCTAAATATTTCCTCATTAGGCCATGGCGCCATGTTCGTGAAATAATTGTATTAAGCCGTAAAGCGTAACTGTGAACTGAACACTCGGCCAACGTATGATCGCTATTTGCGGCTTGCGCCAAATTTCTTTTATTTGTGCACGGAAAACCGACACTATACGGCTTGTTGGCGAGTGTTGGCCGCAAACGCCAAATACACACAAAACGGCCCAGTACACGTTGGCCGAACGCAATCGGCGAGCGCGTTCGACCAACGTGTACTGCTATAGTCCCACCAACTTATCTGTGAACTGACTGCGGCAAAATTGTGAACTACAGCCGCCATTTAATCAAATGTCACTCGATACGTCATTTTTTTTGAGTTTATAGAAAAATAAAAAATGCCGAAAACCATTAAAAGTGATGCCTGAAACATTATTTCATAAGTATTAAACTTTTGTGAACATGAAGCTTGAGGGTAAGCACCGATAATGTCTTTCAATCAGGTCTATAAAAGAGTATCAGCTGCTACAAGAAGGAACAAAACATAGCAATATATATACATACATATACATAAACACTCACGCCTGTCACCCAGAGGGGTAGGCAGAGATTATGGACTTCCATTTGGCACGATCCTGACACACCTCTCTCGCTTCCTCCACATCCATATACCTACGCATACACGCTCGTCGGTTAAAGGTACTCTTGATTTGGCCCATTTTTAATATATCGCCAATTTGGTCGATAAACTTTAACTTTAACCAGTATTGCTATGTTTTGTTCCTTCCTTTCGTATTTCCGATAAATGGATTGGTTAATGCAATTCATTTCTTTTTTAGATGTTAGTCAAGGATTCATTTCCAAAATAGTTATAGAACCGGAAACCGCATAAACCACAGGAACACAAATTACAACGCCCGGTAAAAAAGGCATAAAGGCATATCATTTAATTAAAGTTTAAATTGTTCAATTATGATATTTTTGTTTCTGCCTGTTCTTGGCCATATATCTGTTAAATCTGTGTTCTAGTCTTTTTATTCCGTGACTAATTTATTACCCTAGTATGTGGACTCTATGTAGGAATATAAGACCCTTAGATGGGAATATTCCCGAACTGGCAACACTTCAGCGCAGAAGCGCCAAACTGTCAGTTCACAGATAAGTTGGTGGCACTATACCTTCAGACCTTGACATTTTATTGTACAAACTTATTCAGAACTATGGTCAAGCCAAAGAGTATAGTAGGTCAGGCCAAAGTAAAGTAAAATCCGAAACAACTCTTTATATGACAGATTATTTAATCAGCTTTGTGTTACTAATCATGAAGATTTCAACCAATTGATCTTTCACATAGAAGTGTTGGCTATCAAAAGGAAATCGTCTAACTCGATTTTACAATCTGTTTGACTCTGTCGTAGAGTTCTTGGAAAACAAAGACACAGAATTGCGCGACAACCTCATCACATCAAAGAATGATATTGCATACCTGACAGACTTTTACAAATTGCTTAATGATATGAATCTCCAACTTCAAGGCGATTATTTGACTTTGATTTGATTTGTTTTAGATTATCAATCTCTGATCTAATATGTACATAACGTTATTTTAAAGCTATTATTTCATTTTACGTTCCCAGTTATTATAGGAAACTAATGTAATTAAGTTTTTTTATAAGGCTTAATTTTTAAATAGTTACTGAGTCAGTAAAATTAATTTTCTATTATCTGTACAAAACTCCTTGATGATCGTATTTCCGAACGCAACTAATAATGTCAATGTCATATAAATTATTCGATAGCGATATGTAGTCGATAGGAAGCTATTTTTATTTTCGGCAATTGGAAAAAGTAACTAAAATGGCATGATGTTAAATTAAAAGCAACAAGAATATTTTACTTAATAGGATATATGAAGTTCTTGGAAAATATTTTCATTCTAAGCTTGATCTTTAAAAAAGTATTATTGTTACAAAACACTCGTGTTCGCTGTTAGCAATAAAAAAATGCTATGCTTTAGCTTTAGATAATTACTATGTTTTCACTATTTTATCTGATAGATATAGATGTTAGATAATGAATAATACTCATTACTCACCTTCACTTTAAGGGCATACACGGTGTTCGTTTTATATGATCTATTTACGACGTATAACACAACGGCACTGCCAAATACACAAGCACATGATGTCCACATAGTTTTCACATTTCTGTAATTTACATGGGTTCTATTTTGTGTAAAAACTGGGGCAATTTCTAATTTTTTAAATAATTTAATGGAAGTGCGAGCTAGCGAAGCCATGTTGACAGAACAGCTGATCGCCGTGTGAGAGAGAGAAATGATGGGAAAGAGAAACGTCAAATAGGTCGCGCATGCGCACACCATAAGAAGGAATATTGCGTTTTCCCACAAATTTATACCATAGCTATATTTGTATTGTTGAGGTATTTGCATTGCAATTCTAAAATACAGATAAATTATTGGTGGATAAATCTGCAGCCATATATGTTAAGTATTTTGAACAGTAGGTTCAAATATTGTATAAACTAGAATATATTTGTGGGGCTGAACTTGATAAATAAAATAAACTTTAAATAAAATAAACTTTTCAAAAGGAAATGTATTTTTTTTTCATTTTGAGTAATTCATTAGGATACTAATTTTTCTCTTAGAATTAAAGAAAATCCTTACTGTAACTGCTAATTTATGATACAAATCATATCATAGAATATTTAAAGTACAAACAATTAGCAATTAGATCTACTTATTACATTTGTTGACTAATAACAAGCTACTGATTATTACCTAATTACAATTTTATAAGTTAGAATTTGTAAGTTATGTTTGGTAGCATAATTTTTATGTAGTAAATGTACAAAATTAAAAAAGTAAATACAGCAATCGCTTATCAATCTATTAAAGGCACACTCTCAGTCGAGCCTTGGTTTGGAACATCTTGATCTTTTTCTTCAAGAATTACCTCTTGAGCAGGCACTTGAATCTCTTCAGGAGTAACATGTTGAGAAGTATCCATCTCTTGAACTGTGCTCAGTACAACCCTTTTCACCGATTCCATGTTATCATACACTCCATACTCGGCTTGCCATAATATAGTTGTAATAAGTTGCTGAACATTAACGCTGGTCTGATATGACTTGAATTTCCGTAGCTTGTTGCCAATATATTCACCAAATACAGAAAATTCATCTTTCTTAGTAAAATTTTCTACTGGAATTCGTCCGGGCTGCTGATGTGATTTTGTAACACTTGGTTTTCGACTGTAGATATACCTTTTTGTAGGAATAGGTGATGTAAGTTCCCTTTTTATTTGCTTATATTTCATCTTACGCTTAGGCTCATATGTCTCAACTTGATGTGTCCAGTCGTCTTCCAACCATTCTTCATCAGAACCTCGATTCTCACCAATTTCATGCACCAAGTTAAGGGTTGCTTCATTATCCTCATTGTTGCCTTGTTCAATATCAGTTTCTGAGTTTTCTAGGACATCAACCTGAAATAAATGCATATGTTGAAAGCAACTACGACAGTTAAATAACTTTGAAAAACTTGGGCCAGACTTTTTGTTAAATTGTACATTTATACTGCTAATGCATGTAAAAATCCTATAAAAATAATATACTAATAGATAACTTCATCATGAAAAAATCGATTGCATCAACTTAGTAATAAGATAACGTAAATAATGAACAACTCGAGTAAATCCTTAAACGTGGCGTAACGTTTTGATAGCATAAGTATTATGATGTGATAACAAAAGTATAACCTATACAGAACATTGTAAATACCCTTTGTATTTCAATAATGGGCATTGAGCCGTCTTCAGGAGACTTCCCGCTACGCTGTTTCTTATTAACATCAACTGATACCGAATAACGTACGTTTTCATTTTTGTAGACATTTACATATTTTCTTCGTTTTGGAGTAGCCGCTGTTTGATTTGTGCTTTCATCATCTTCGAAGTTGCGATATGCGGTTTCGTCCAACGTACCATTCTGCAATAAATCCCATTGAATTGGATGCTTGTTCACCAAGTGTGTTCGAAGATTGGTCGTATTTCCGAAATACTTATATTGCTTATCGCATAATTTACACAACACCGCCACACATCTTTTATTCTCTTCTAAACGATCAAAAAATCGCCACACTAAAGACGATGTTTTCTTCATTTTTCAATCGATTATTGATCTTTGATCAATTTGCCGCCAAAACTCTGATGAATATTATACTGAAACCGATTATTAAACGTATCGAATCGAAAGATATCACAAACACTACAATACGGCCGACGTATCTTGGCGAGTCCGACCTTCGCGCAGAAGGTTGCGCAATAGCTTTTTTAAGGAACAAAATGGTGGCATGAGGCGACGTACGGGGGGCGGTGGTCTAGGCTAGAGATTGACCATAAGTAAACACAATCGACCCTTTAGTCATAAAATATCGCAATCGATTAGTTTTATTTAGAAGTTATTGATTTTTGTTTATATAAGATATTAAACGAAATAGATTTACAAATATAGTGAATTTTGTTGATAATAAACAAGATTTCGACTTAAATAAAAAAAAAAAACTAAAAACATATTATTTTCTCAGCTGAAAGACATAATGTACTTAAATATCAATTATCTATTAACGTCTTCTTGAGTAACGACTATTTGAGAAAATTTAGAACCTCCTTATAAATTGCAAATAAATATATTTTTATGTCTTAATTTTAATCGATTTGAATAAAAATCGATTAAACAACACCCTCAGGCACGCGTGTTGGACATCCCTTTCTGGTTACTTCGTAAAGCTTCGTGCTTATTCGGCAATGCTCGGTACACGGTAATATTTCTCAGTCACACGTTAGCATTGGTGTCGTGTTCGTGTCGCTATCTCTGTCTTGAGCACAGTCGGTTACAAAAGTTTTCGTTGTTATTGTTGTTTGTTTTTATTAATAGTGTTAAGTTTGTTTTGTTTGTTTTATTTGTTTTATTTGTTTTATTTGCAAGTGTCAGTTAGCACTTATATTATTCGCCAAACATGCCACCAAAACATAACAGTGTGTTAAATCGCCAGGCGAGAAAAATTATTTACGATTTAACGCAATATATGAAAAAAGAAAAAGAAGAAGGCGTAAAAGATGTCGATAAAGTTTATTTAAGAGTTGCTAACGCAACTGGTGTGTCCCAACGCACAGTACAGCGGATCGCAACTGAAGGCAATATTTCGGGCTTACTTTCAGTATTCCGCACGCCTGGTAAAAAAAGGTCTAGATCAAAACCTATTACTGATATGGATAATTTTGACCAGGGAGTAGTAAAAAGATGCATACACAACTTCCACAAAACTGAAAAAGAAATGCCGACGATAAACAAATTACTAGCGAAACTCAAACGGGATATAAATTTTCAAGGTGGTAAAACGAGCTTAAAGACAATTATCAAAAACTTGGGTTTCAAGTGGCGAAAGACCGAAACCAATAGAATGGTTCTTATAGAGAAGACCGACATTCGCCTGAAAAGGATCTTGTACTTGAAGGCAATGAAAAAATACAGGGACGAAGGGCGACCAATTGTATTCACTGACGAGTCGTATGCCCACTCATCACATACAAAAGGTAAGGCGTGGTCAGATGGTTCCGCTCAAGGACTAAAGCGCCCGATATCAAAAGGTCAGCGGATAGTGATGGTACACGCTGGGTCAGAAGCAGGGTTTGTTCCGAACGCGCTACTAATGTTCAAATCTGGCAGCAAAACCGGAGACTATCATGATGACATGAATTTCAAAAATTATGAGAAATGGTTACGGACCCAACTGATTCCAAATTTGAGCCCTAACTCGGTGGTGGTTATCGATAATGCTCCGTACCACAACAAATTAATGGATCCTGCCCCTACATCTAATGACAAGAAGGCAAAAATGGAATCGTGGTTATTAGAAAAGGGTATACCATATGAAAAGGACATGCGTAAACCACAACTTTACGATCTAATAAAAAAAAACAAAGACGTGAATAAAAAATACGTAATAGATGAAATGTTTAAACAAAACAACCACGATGTCCTTCGTTTACCCCCATATCATCCCGATTTAAACCCCATCGAGATGGTGTGGGCTGCCATTAAAGGGCACGTAGCCGCTAAAAACGTCGACTGGAACGTAACCCGGACAATGGAGCTCATACAAGAAAAAGTAAATTTAATGGGTCAGAATGAATGGAGTGCTTTATGCAGAAAAGTGCAAGAGGTCGAACATGACTATAGGAAGAGCGACCATATTATTGACGAAATGACGGATCAATTATTCATCATTAATACAGCTTCAGATTCAGAAAGTGAGTCTGAAAGTGAGAGCGACGATTACGAAGATGAACCTATGCCAAGTACCTCACATGGTACACAAGGGGCCGACGACTTTATGTTAGGAATTTCCCCCCTCAGCGACAGTGATTAAATAATAATAAGTGTAAATAAATAAAAAGTATTAAATGTAAATAATATTGTATGTGTTTGTGATAAAATCTGCCCCTATCGAAAGGTGAGGTATCAAAATTGAATCTTTAATTTATAATGTCTCCAAAGTGTTTTGATATTTTTGGTCACTGTATTAGGGAAATTTTATTTGTACATTGGTATATATAAAAAAATGACAATAACAGTTTTCTTCACGAGTGTTCATGCGCTAAACTTCGCAGAGCCTATATTCAGACTCGCCAAGATACGTCGGCCGTATTATACTCTTGTAAAACAAGATGGCGATCGAATCAAGCATCGAGCAAAGTATCAAAACCTTCACTTCTTTCGATGTGAAATGGCTGCCAACCGAGACGCGATAAAAATCGATGACTTTATAATCTGTGCTCTCAAATTTTCATTTACATTTATTTCGGCAGTGGATACGAGCCTTTCTGCCAATAAATACTTTTTCAATATTTTGTGTGAAGGTTTTTTGTTTTTGTATTACATTTTCACAACACCATTTATCGATGACACTGGTTAGCTATTGTACTTTTTCCTTTTTCTAACTAAGATGGACTTTAATCTTTCTGAGAAAAAATAAGTATTCTCTTTTTTTGTTTACTGTGATTTTGGTTTAAGTATTTCTTTGTAGAACATTATTTTATACAATTTAATTGCGATTTTATTTATGAAATTAAAATTCACTTGATGAATCAATGCCACCATGGAACTTTAAAATAATAATGATAACTTTTGATATAATAAACTGATTTTAATAAAAAAAAGACTAAATGTATCTCGTAGGTGATACACTTTTTGATTTTTTTAACGATTATTTACAAAAAAAGTAGTACCTTTGAGTAGTACTTTAGACGTGATGCTTTCATAAATAAACAGACAGACAGGCAGGCAATTCTAAAAATGGTAGAGATGTATTTAATTACTTATTTTTAGTAGATGGAAGATTATTAGAATCAGCTTGGTATCGATCATAAGTATTATAAAAACCCTTTCTGTACATACAGTTTTTGTTTCTTAATTTTTAAGTTTTTGGTTATACCTGTTGAAATTGAATATTTTCAGGGATTTTGTTGTAAATGCGTATACGCTGCCCCATAAATTAGTAATTAATTATGTGGAGTCTGGTAGCTGGCATTACAAGCATGTGAGTGGTCCTAGTATTTAAAGTATGAATATCTTTATTCTTATCTATGCTATGTTTTTATGAAAATTATGTAATACAATTTCAAAAATATATCGCGAGGTCAAAATTAATAGAAACTTTCCTTTATGAGACTTTTTAATTTTAGTTGCCCTCTTTTGTACAACAGTAAAGTTTTAACCCTGTGTCTATTTTGCGGACAGGGAACCTGAGGTCCCGTTTCCCAAGTATGCTTTATCATACCGAGGGAATGTAATATATACTTCCATATTACCTACTTTTTTATTTTTTTTAATACATAAAACAAGTAGGTATTTTATTAATATATATAATATTAACGGTATATATTAAGGTGTCTTATATAGAACTAGCTGTGGCCCGCGGTTTCACCCGTGTCATCACGTGTCGCAGGTGCGCGACATGACCTAGTTCAAGCATTTTATAATTGCAATTAAATATTTATTTGATGGCAATGGATGGAAAAATTGGCATAATTGATGGAAACTTTTATCTGTCGGCATATTATGTACTTTTGATGTAGAGCGAAGTTAAGCTTTATCCACTTTCCCTCCCCCTCCCGGTTGAGCTTTCTATACTGGCTCCTTGCAGTTCTCACCGGGCAGCTAGAGTTTATGCGTAGTTCGCGCGCCCAGCCAAGTATTGAATTATTTTAATTTTACATTATCTCTTAAACTATGCGTCCAAATAACATGGTATAAAGAACAAAGTTTATCTTCATAAAATTGTCTTGATGATGAAGTAACTTTCGTTCGTAAGGATAAATAGGCTATGCCTAATAATAACGCTCATAAATCACTTTTAAATTTTCAATATTTTTTTGTCATAAAATATCTAATTATGGCTTATGTATAAGAAATAGATATATGGTATCGCGGACTTTTTTCGAGACGGAGTAAAGATCTATATTTTTCTAGAACATTGTATTTACGTATCCCTAACGATAACACCAGCGTACGCGGATAAATCATTTCGGGAGTGCTGCTTTTTCTTCTGACTTGCTTGACAAATATCCATATTTAAGGCTAGCTGAGTGATATAGCTTGATGCTAGATAGCCTATACTATTCCACATGAATCTGGCTATAATATACAAAAAGAATTTTTCAAATCGGACAAGTAGTTCCAGATATTAGCGCGTTTAAACAAACAAGAAAATAAAAAACTCTTCCGCTTTATTATATTAAAGTATAGATATAGATATATCAACCTATGGGTTTCTTAAGAGGCAATAGACAAAAATGAAACAGAGATGGGCAGCAGCATCTTTCTATAACAACTCAAAATATCTGTTGGCTCCGTGGCGCAATTGCTTAGCAATGAGTTGCTGTGCTGGGGGTCGCGGGTTCGAATCCCGCACGGAATAAGTATTTGTATGGCTTACAAATAATTGTTCCGGGTCTGGATGTTTTTCCTTGTGCAATTTGTGTTTGTAAACTGCCTCCATGATACAGGAGAAAATCCTAGAGTGGGGGTAACTTATTTAAAAAAAATTATATTAAAAACGACGGTTGCCAACCCGCTTGCCAAGGTTGACAGCTATGGTA